GAAAGAAGCCTTTGATTGTATGGGTTGTTGAATGATAAAGTCAGATTTGAGGTATACTGATAATGTAATTGGGCTAACTGATGATAATGGCAAAACTATATTCTTAGGTAAATATTTTCATCTCACTGCTGACAACAGAGTCAATGGCAGATTATTATTCAGGCCAGTGGTTATCCAACACCATCTGAATGATCTACAGATTTTGGGGACTCAACTCCAAAGACCTTTGACAGCTGTTTTGGAATCTGTATTTTTAAGTTTCTCAAATGATTCTAAGGCATAGCCAAGTTTGAGAATTATTGCCTGAGCTTTAGACAAATACTTTAAAAGGTGCCCCTACGCTTTTTTCTGTCATACTAAAATATCAAATGAACGAAAAAAAAAAAGGTATTACTCTATCATTACTAATAACTAACAGGTAGACCAGTGGAGGAAAGGTTGAGGAACAAAGTAACCTAAGGTCACAATTTGTGAGGACAGGGCTCCCTGATGCTGTACTTCGTCAACTGTGGAATTATAAAACAGAAGATGACTTTGTGGATGAAGAAAAAAATACCAAGTTAAAAACTGTAAGATCAGAATAAACAGAATCCTCATTTACCCTGCTCTTTTGAGAAGGTGATATAATTAACAACTCAATTTTTAGTTCTTTCGAAAGCATTTAGTTAGAATGTTTCTGTATCTCACCTGTTCTTTCTTCCAGCTTAGCATACTTTGGTGTATTACACATGTTACACTCTGATCTTCTGGCCCAATTCACGTTACTGCAACTTTGAAAGTGAAAAATATCAAATCAGTAGACTGTAAGAAAAGCAGTATGTTTTTAGACATTCTAGAATTTTAAAAACAGAAAGAGTGAAATCACTACCATAAAAAATGTTTTAAGGATACTACAAGAGAGAACATGGGTTCCAACAGACTGAACTATTTAAGTAGAAGAGCAAAAGCTGTACAATATAAGGTTTGCCTTTGTCATTGAATGAGAAATGACAAATTTATCTACAGCAATTTTGCTGCCTTGGGGGGAAAAACATTTTAAATCAAAGAGTCTACTAATTTCTCAGTTTCCAATTCACCTCAAGAATAAGGTTATATCCTCCAAATATTAAACAAAAAACAACTTTTTTTTTTTTGAGGAATCAGTTCAAGAACTGAATTCTACAGCATACCAAATTCAATGACTTAACTTGTTGCTGGAAAATTCTCTAATACTAATTTTACTATATATAAGATCAGAAATTTGTGTAAGAACTTAAGTCCTCTTTCATATGTATCTGATTCATCTGCATAACAGAAAAAGATGGATACTGGAAAAATCAATACAGTACTTGAAAATCAAAAATACTAAGAAACCTACCTACTCAGGAATAATTATGTATGCCACGCAACATACAATTCTAAAATAACTGTGTAAGAAGGCAAGATAAATTTTGCTATATATTTCACATTAATGATACAGGTTAAAAGTTTTTGAGATTTTTAATAACAGAAATAGGTTTTAGTGCATTGAAATACCCCTCCCTCTTTTTTTCTGAATGTTAGCTCGCCTTAAGCATCTGTTTACTGATATATATAAT